GAGCCAGGGTCAGGCTTGCGTTTCCTTTCCCTCTCCCGGCTGTGCTGACCAGCATGAATAACTGACTGGGCTAAGCTCACGCAGACTGTTGTGCTATTAGAGTAGCTTAGGTGTCCATGAAGCCTTAGATGAATTTGTTTAGTTTTTTTGACACTTCTTTAGAGGTGACTGACTATCCCAGCATGGACCTCAGTCCTTCAACACTGCTGGAGTTCACTGCCAACACAGCCCTTGCTGCACTTTGGACACTGATCCCCACCTCTGCTTCCCAGACACAGCGTGGCTCAAGTTCCCTTGCCTGCAGCCACTGTGCTTACACAGGCACAGTGCAAGGTGTCAAGGTGCCTGCTGCTGCAGGGAACTACTGAAACCTCGAGTTATGTTAGGGGCAAAACTTCTTTCAGTCCTCCTGGGCAGATCTGGAGCTGTTTGTCCTACTAGCAGTCTTGTGGTGGGTCTGTAGGGAGGGCTGTGTGTTGGGGGTTGCTGCATGTGGGACACCTAGCTATGAAACTGTTCACAATTTTCACCCAGTAATTCCATGTTTAGGCACAGTGTAGAAATCTCCATGTGGTACACGTTTTGAGCCTGTAATTCTGGCACTCACATCCAAGAGCACAAAGTGAAGAGAAATATGGAAGTCTTAAGAGAAGCTCGGTGAACAGAGATGTGCAAGTGGTGGTGGGGGGATGCCTTCCTGTGTGCCTTTGTGTGTGGAATAACTTGAGCATGGAGAGGTACAAGGATTTGGATCAAGGGAGTTCAGATCATGGGTGGCTTAGGCAGGGGTTCTGGTGGGTGAGGACAGAAATCCTGCTGCAAATGAAGCCCAGCAGTCCAGAGCTGCTGAGCTGAAAGTGGAGAAGGAAGCTTTGGGGCCATCTTCTAGCATTGAAGCTGATGGCTGGGAGACTGAGGAATAAGAGACTTCTGAGGCAAGACCTCTGTCCCAGTGAAGGAACATGCTTTGGCAGGAGGCATGTTTGTGCTTCCAAGAAGCAGGGTCACACGTTTTGCAATGTGCTGTTCATTTTTTCTGTCATTCAGGGAGAAAAAGGGTTTATAATTTTGATCTGGTGATCAACCAACTGCTTAGCTGATCTTAGCACCACAAGTGAAGCTGCTGTTTCACTGCCATGGGCAGAAGGCACAAGTAGATCCTTCAAAAATATCCTCACTTTCACACTGGGGTCCTGTTTGCTGGGATAATCAGGATGACTGCCACAGTGGGTCTGCTCCATCATGCCAGAGCATTTCTCCCTGGAGCTACTGTCCCCCTAGAGGGATGGCTGTTCCAACACCATACACCATGTAACCTGACATTGCTTCCACTGGGCACACACCTTTCTTTTTTGGCCTTTTTCCCCAAGAGAAGATCCCTGTTCAGGCAAGCTGGTCTGCTGCCTCATCTGCTTGATTTCCAACGTTTTGGAATTGCTGGCTACTGTGCCCTTAGGAGGTGATGTTTAAAAAGCTTAAAAGTGCAAAATATATCATTTGGGAATGGTACTCTTGGAGTGTGGCATCTCACTGGCCAGAGCTGGTTGCCTGAGGAGCCCCATGTCTCCTCCCCAGCAGGGTCTCAGTCTCTGCTGCTTTTAATGCCTCCTGGGATGCCATAGCTGCCAAAAGGGAGAAGTCCAGTCAAAATTTGACTCAAGACTTGCCCTTGGTCCCAGCTGACCTTCTGATTCTGGAGGCTTCCTTCCACACCTTTGGCTGCCTCTCTAGCTGGTAGTTCCCCTGCCTTCTCCTTCCAGGTGTTTGGGCAGGGAACATTGTGCCCAAAGGCTGGGCAGGATGCAGTATGCCTTTCCATTCTCCTTCCTAGGGACATTTCACAGGAATGCTCTGACTGCCTTATGGGCTTCCAGTGCCAAAGTCCATCTGATGACAGAGTGGTTGGGAAAGCTAAGTCTGATGGGGTTGGGGTGAGCAGGGGAATGATCATCTACACATCTCATGGAGAAAGAATGGGAAGGGAGAGGAGAATGAGAGCAGGGCTTCTATTTGTGTGCGCCTGGAAGTAGGAGAGATCGGATGGAATATTTGGGCTGCTGGGTCCTGTTTTCTGTGGGTGGGAAAGGACAGCATGTTTCAGGAGCCAGCTTCTACTAAATTCCTGTGTGAGCATTGCTTCCTGGAATTGTTTCTTGAAATAGATACCATTTTTTGGTGTGCATTAAGAAGGTTTATGTGGCTTTAAAGGGGAATTAACTGCTCTGCAGTTCTTGATTTCTCATTGTGCAGTTAAAGCAAACACTCAGCAGTTTAGTAATATTAGTAATTACAAGGAAAGCATGAGATGAAGTGAGACTTTCCAAAATTTTCTGCTTATTTTACCTTCTGTTTTTAAAATAAACTACAGCACCTTATCCCATATATGATTCTGTGGGATAATACTCCAGTCTGTCTGTAAAACACAGAAACAAAATATTAAATCTGTCTGTAAAACACAGAAACAAAATATTAAAAGCCAGGATATTAATTTATTTGTTTGTTAAATTTCCTCTAAGTGATGCCAATTCTGGGAAAGCCTAGAAGAACGTGATATGTTACATTTCTACCCTTGGGTACGGTACACAATATCTAGGAATGAAATCTGCAGCTGGGGAAGGAAGTGTCAAGCCTACAAAAACATTTAAAGAGACATTCTTTATTAATCTCCTCTCTGGCATGCAAGCTCTTACTGATCATAACACTGCAATATACTCAACTGTACCATACTTAAGCTGTACTTGAACGCAGCTGAGCTGCCTGTCCCACGGAAGACAATTACAGCTGTAAAGACCTGTGCCCAGACTTAGAGGCTGGGAGAAGTGGTCTCCTTTTAACTTCATCTCTCTCTCCATACTGTGGGTGGCTGGTAAGTCTTTTTTTTCTCAAGATCTGGATCTCCAGAGCCTTGGCTGGTGTGACAGGCACAGCCCCTGCACGGATGGCAGGTGAGCACCACGTCCTCAAGTGCCCAAATCTGTGCTGCAGGCCGGGCCCCTGGGCTCTCTCTCTCAGCATGACCTGACCCAGCAGATGTGTCTCACCAGCTGGACATGGGCCAGGTTAGCTGCAGTTGGCTTTAGTGCTGCACTGCATGTAGCTCACCTCACAGAACCGCTGGGTGAGGTCCATGATCAACAGGTAGATGGAGCAGGTCTGACAGTGTACGGAGTGGTGTGTCCCTTGAGAAACAAAGAATATTTACATTTTTAAACACCTTTTATTCTAGGCAAAGAGGTGGCTTTTACAGCTGATAATGGATTTTAATATTTAATCCCATGAACACATTATTACAAATGCATGTACCCTACTGCCAATAGGGGAAAATATTTTTTAACCTCTCTGGGACTTGCCTTGGGTTTATTTTTTCTCCAGTGAGATTGCTGTCAATCAGTCAAATCAAACCAACAATTGCAAATAAACATAATAATCACAATGCCAGACGGAGTACACATAAGAAAGCTGCTCAAGGTTGAATCCCTTATCTGTTCTTTTTTAATATTTATGAACCTGGATACAAACATTTATTGACAAGGGAGTTCACTTCCTACTCAGAATGGTTTGTTTATTTTCAGTCTGGGAACCTGGACAGCTATGCTTTCTCAGTAGTATTAATTGCCACTGCTCTTTTTTTCATGTGTTTGGACTTCCAAAAAGAAGAATTGGCATGAAATGCAGAAAGCTCAAGAAATGCTGGTCTACCTCTTGAACCAATATTAATTAATAAACCAGCATTAATAAATCAGTCAGCATTATAAAGTTTATGTACATAAAAAAATATTACCCATTGAAATATCAATGTGACTTATTTACAAATAACTGTTTGCTTTCTCTAGCTAACAATAAGAGTCCTCCTATTTTACATATTGGGGCCATATAGTTTTCTAGGCTGAATATCAGCAAAATGTTGTAGAGGGCTACCTACAGCTCCAGCATGATGTCAAAAATTCTACTGCAGCTGTGATATTCCTTGCTGTTGACCTTTTTTCAAATACTTTTAACAACTTTCATCAAGATCAACAGCAAAAATTTTGTTAAGTCTTTTGATCTAATAAACTTACTTAGTCACTGAGGTAGATCCACATGGGAAAATGAACATAATCATGAGAGGAAGAGAATTAAGAAGTTTTTTGAAAGGATTGTGATCCATTTGATAAACTGTTGTTATTTAATTTACATAGTAACAGCATCACCCTGACATGTTTTGCTTCTGATACATGTCCAGCAAAAGAACTTTATTCATTTATTCATACGAAATGTGTATGAATGCAATCCATACAATTTCATTGCATGAAAGATGTGTTCACTTATATTTTAGCACCAAAATGACGGAACAGGACCTAGTGAAACTCGACCTGACAAGCAGTTTTGCAATGTATACTGGTGCTTATAGGTCTTGGCAAGCATAGCCTTACAGGGTCAGGCTCTTAGGTGGCCTAAATGGTATTCAGTCCTGAACATCTCCTCTGCTAAATTTTCTCTTTTTCTCTTGTTTATTTACAGTATTCATGTCACAAACAGGAACCAGCAATTTCCAGGAACTATTTTTGTTGGCTAAATTTCATCCCCAAGCTTTCTAAAAGACATTCACTCACAAGAGTTTGCTTTGCATATCTATGGGAAACCTCTTGAGTAATATAATGTCAATCACAGGCACCAAAGAAACGAACACCAAGTAAACAAGGAGAAAAACATGCTTCAACACTGTTTTCCTCAGCAAAACAAGTAAATATAGGTTTCAGGAAAATAAAATGTCTCTTTGTCCTCCTTTGAAATCACTCTTTTAAATCTGAGGCAACATTTGTCTATGAGTTTAGATTAGATGTAGGCAATGGGCCTTTAGTGACACTGTGATGACTCTTCTGCATGTGTGAGAGGAGGACACAGCTCCTGAACACTCTGAACTGGTGTTGCAAAATATGACTGGCACCAAAGTACATGAACATGATACTTCTTGTGCTTAATGCCAGTGCCCTCCCTATCCTGACCCTGTGAGTGCTTACTCAGCTGTGCTGCAGAAGCTGACAGGTGAAGGCCACCTTCTTTGGAATAACAACTGCCTTCTGGATGGTCAGGGTTAAGCTACAGGGAAAATGAATACTCCTGGTCTGCACTGCTCATTTGACCTAGTTCTTTGATGATGCACCAAGATCATAGAACTATCACAGAATCACAGAGTGTTTTGGGTTGGAAGTGACCTTAAAGATCACCTAGTTCTAACTCTCCTGCCATGGACAGGGATACATTCTACTAGACCAGTTTGCTCCAAGTCCCATCCAACCTGCCTTGAGCACTTCCAGGGATAAAGCATCAACAGCTTCTCTGGCCAAACTGTTCTGTGAGTCTTCACCCTCATAATGAAGAATTTTTTCCTAATATCTAATCTAAATTTATGCACATGTCTTTTTATTTATTTACATTTCATCACCAGTTGTGTAGATCAGATCTTGGTTTCTATACTATGGACATCTTAAATTTGATGAGGTAGATCCAACCTATTAATGTTTCCATAAAAAAGAAACATACAAAAGTTTTGTTCCCTAATAAATGACCATGTTAGGGCCATAGCTCTTCATAACACACGATGCTCACCTCTCTAAAATCACCTGCACCTCTGATCTCCCAGTGCTCACAGTCTATAATGCACCTGTTGTGCCCAGACTGATCTGCAAAATGTAAGGCTGCAGAAAAAAAAGTGTATTGGTTTAGATGAAAGTTCTGTATCATCACAGTTTTTTTTCTCCTCAGAAAGGCCACCTGGCACAGATACAGTGCTTTGCCTCTTCCAGTGAACTGCCTATTAACATTTGACTATAAGGTTTATGTGCAATCTTTTAAAAAGTGTTAAATAGTGTGACTCTCAAAAATCTAGTTTAGTAACATTTCTAACATTTATTCCAGCATTCTTTATGAGATACAGAGAAGATATAATAGACTGTGGCATATCTGAATAGTTCTAAGTTACCTGGAATTCCAGTTTAATGCATCAGAATTCAGGACCTTGGAATTCACCCTGGCTTGCAGTTTCACTACCTTCTCATGTTCCTTCAGGCATAGATAATAATAAGAAATACCACAAATTTAGTGTATTACTTAGAGAAAGCCATTATCAAATTTATTATTGCAATAAACCTACAGGCTATTATGTTTTTCACAGCTGGACTAATGAGGCAGGAGAAAAGGCCTCGGGGAAGCTTCCTTTACCTGTTTGTTATTTACACAGTAGTCCAAGAACACATTGTGGAAATACTGTCCTGTGGACTCTAAGTCATATTGAAAGGAGTGTTTTGTCTGCAGCCTGAAGCATCAGCCTCCTGTAAGTTAGGGCTTTACAGGGAAAAACATTAATTTGAAAGAACACAAACATTATTTAAGACAGGCTGTAACAAGATAAAAAACATTAAATACACTAATTCTGACACTGGCTTCCTGCACAAGAGTCATTTTGTGTTAATTTGTTATAGAAGTTAGACTAGAGGGATTTAATTTACTGGTTTAAAGTTTAGTTCAGTACCTGAAGGTTTAATTTTATATCCAGTGTATCAATGTCTTTGTGAGTAGAAGTCTGCACAAGAAATCAGAGCCATTTGTAGAAAAACATACAGCAAACTTGGCAATCTTTGCTGTCAAAAGGACATCTGGGATCTATTTTGAACCAAACTTCATTCTTGAAAGTAGTTGTATGCCAGAAAAGAAAAAAAATGAAATAAATAAGGAATTTGATAAATAATTTTTTTGCAGAGGACATGGGGAGAAATATGCTGAAACTGTCTTGAAGAAAACTCTTTTACTTTGAAGATATTACCAGAAAGGAAAAAATATATTAAGTGAAAACCTGCACAATACTGAAGAACAAAACAACCCACACTGAAAAGTAATTTAACCTAAGAAAAGCAGTCAGAAAGGCTTGGGTACAGTGCAAAGATGTAAACAAACCAAAACAATAAGGGTCATAGAAACAACAAACTAACAAAGATATAGTGGAAAGGAGAATAGGGTATTCCAAAGGGAAAGAAAATGAGATTACTTTTTGGCCATGCTTTGATTATACAAGATGGAAGGGAAACATTTCTTCATCATAGATCTGTATTTGAAGTACAGCTCCTGGCCTGTTAAGATGCAGTGGTGATTTCCCATAATCAAACCATGTGGATTCAACATAGGTACCGCTTTCAAGACAAAATTGTCTGCAGGAGTTGAGCTTTGCTTGAGTCACCAATAATGAAATCCATAAAGCCCTTTGCTATCCAGGAATTCTTAGTTTCTCCTGGATGCACCCTCAGTATCAGCATTGCAGTCTTCTGCTCAGTGCCCTTGCCACTTTTGGAGAGGGGTAGTGGTGGTGATAGTTAAATTATACACTGTGTTTCACAGTGAATGGCATAAGATGTGAATCTTGCAGAATTTAGACACCACTGGGCCTTAAGAGATGGCCACTGGGTACTCCTGCAGGTTGTTGTAGGTGTAAGGATAGTAGTGGGCAATGTAGCAGGTGACTTGGTCAGGGAACTGGAAGATCCAAGTCAGTGAGAAATAATGATGTCTGTCTTGCCCCACGGTATTTTTGTAATACTTGATTTATTCCCAGTCCTTTACCAGCCATTTCTTATGCTGTTCCTTAGTGCTGGGTTTTGAGTACAACAGTGGCCACAAGCCATGTTTGTACAGGCTGTTTACTTGCTAAAGCTGTCAGTAGTGAAGCACTAAGGCATCCCTGCCTGTGTATTGCTTGCTTGGAAGCAGTACACTGTGTGTGTCTGTGCTTCGTGTGGAGGTCGGTGAGGGGTTAGCCAGTACTCAAATACAGAATTAGTAGGCAAAGAGCAGACAAACAGTGTGATGCTGATTAGCACTGTTGCATGGGGTACTGTCAAATAATGTGCAAGGCCATGAAAAAGCACCCTGCAGCGAATCAGGTGCAAATCTGGTTCACAGTGTTATAAATCAAAGTCTAAGCAGCTGCTGGGAAAAGGTGCCTAATGTCACCAAGCATGTCAGTAACGCAACTGGAATCTTGATTAGAACTCTTAGTAATAACTAGAGCACCTTAAGACATTCTCCACACTATAAAAGGAGGTGCTTAGGAAATGTGTTGAGTTTGTGTGTTAGATTATCACCTAGAGAACACATTCAGTGCCAAGCCAGAACTCATGTCCTACTGCAGCTAGATGCTTGCTGTCCCAGGAATTGCTTGTAATTGCCTGCATGCCATTCCTCAGGAGCAGCAGGGCCAACTGGCCACACTTAAAAGCAGCAGATTTCTTCTTGGTTGGCAAGTTTCATTAATGAAGGCTGAGAATCACGATACCACAACACCCACTTTGCTGGAGAGCTGTACAGGCTGAAATAAGAATCACTTCCAGTTGCCTGTGTGTGAGGTTCAAGTCAGTAATAAAAAACATGGAAAGTTGCATTTTTGAAGAACAGCAACTAAAAGACTGTAAGAGAAAGCCCTGCCCTTGTTTATAAAAAGACAGGGAGCTGAGATTCCAAGTCTTCCTCCACATCTTACCCCTTGCAGTAAATTAGCACATCCAGTTGCAAAGGACACCTCTGTTCCTCCCTACACAGCAGTTTACCAGTTCTGGCCACCAAGCATAGCAACCTCCTCGTGACAGGTAATATACCCATACTACAGAAGTAGCTGATTTCTAAATGAACTCATGTCAAAGAGTACCAGTGCCTTTCTGTGTATTGCAAGCCTTTACTAACTGTATTTGCCTCAAGAAAGATATTAAATCCCTTTCAGTTTTGTGCTTCTGTGGCCACAGATAGTTCTCCTAGGATTACAAAACTATTATAATCCTTTCTTATCCATGTAAAAGTATCCCAGGACCAAAATCAACAACTGCCACATGTTCCAAGTTCATCCAAGGCAACTGGATGAGCTTAGCAAACACAGGAAAGAATAAATATTCAAAACTCATATTCAACAAGTGACAATGGAATAAGGCAACTAACTTCCTTTAATTCTGTCCAATGAATCCTTGCCAGGATGAGAAGCCTGTATTCAAGAACTGATCCAATCTGACCAGGTTTTGTTTGTACATTTTGGCAAAAACAAAATATCCTTCCAGCACAGACTTGAGTGTTGATGTTGTTACACAGCTCTCATCTTTTTCACTTTCTCTTTTGGCTTTTATCTTTGCTCATATTTTCTCAACAAACTAATTTTAAGCTGGTTCATATTGTTTTTCACTGAGAACAATGGCTTGAGCTGAGCTGGACTTCTGAGGTAAGTAACAGAACAAGGAGAATTTAAAGAAGTTGAGGCAGATGTGTAACTATGTGACTAGTTTCCTCCCCCATCTATGGGAAAATAATTTATTCCCAAGTGCTTTAAAATTACAAGGAATATCACATTGCTTCATCAGGCTTTGAATTATATTTGTAAGTGCTTCATCTACCAACATCTGACAGCAAGATTTCTTAGGATGTCCCCATCTTCTCCTAGATAAATCACTTCTAGATGACAACTCCTTTGTCAGGAGTTTGCTATGGCAGCATTGTGTCCAAACCTGTTGTAGTGTACAATAGGTGTACTGAGTATCCACTCTGAAAAAGGTAACAGAATAAGGGCATAGATGTCTCAGTCCAACCTCTATGCATTTCCTATTTTTAAATTATTTCTGAATTGCAATTTGTTGTATATATAAAGCACACAAACTGCCTTAGTCTCCACTATCTCAATATAGCCTTGCTTTAGGACATCTGTACAGACTGCATAAAATCTATTATTAGCTGACATTTGTATTTAACCCTATAGCCCTGAAATATAGTATTGACATTGCTAATAACCAGACATGAGATTTGTGCTGAATCTAAGACCTCAAGACTAAAGTCTGAACTTCATCTGTCCACAGCTTTGTTTCACTTAATTTAACTGTAACAGCAATTCTTTAATTGACATATATGGGTAATTTATTTTATTTTGTTTGCCTTTGTGTGGTACAAACATTATACAGACAGCAGTAACAAGGAGTTCTGTGTAGAAATGCAGGCCTACAGCTGGACAAACTGTGTTTTAGGGGTAACAAAGAGACATCTGAAGTCAATGGGGGGTTACTTGCTTGACAGCAAGGAATTCTTCAAAGCTGAGAAAAGCCACTCAAATGAAAACATGATAGGCAGAGAAAAGACCTTGAAAAAATCTCTTAATTGGATGATCAGGACTGCTGGTACTGTGCACTGACTGCAATACTGCTCAGGGTTAATTACTTGTCATAGGATCATAGATATGAAAGGATCCCCTTTTAAAGCATTCCCTATCCTTCCTATTATCTCCTTATATCAGGCCAAAAGATAGAAATTTGGTTTCATGTGACTTTGTATTTGCTTTGGGTGTGAATCAGGTACAAGCACCACTATTATTTCTTACTAGAAAAAACATTTCTCATTGCTTTAGGCCTGGTTTCTAGATTTAATTCTCTTCACAAGAGACAAAACCCCATAATAAACAAAAGGTTTTCATCTGAAGGATATGGTTTCAAGTGTAGATGACACCATATATGAGAAGTAAGGGAATTAAACACAGAACTGATGAACACATTTTTAAATGCAGTGGATACCTAACTCTAAGGGATGTCTGGCTCAGTAACTGGTGGTTAAAGGTGAGCTGCAAGGTGAGACTGAGATAAATACTCACCTAGGCCAAGGACTGTTAAGTATGAGTAGAACGGTTTCCAATTTTGTTTAGAGCTTCACAGTAATATGATCACTAATATATTTTCCCTTGCCTAATCTTTCACCCTGAGGTTTTACAGGGAAAATGTAGGGGAATAATTTAAAGGGTCTTAGTATGTAAGAACAGTGCTGACTCTCTTCAGTCACAGATTAGCTGGGGTGGAGGGGTGTCAGGTCTTAATCCTAAACCAATTAAATTAAAATACTTAAATAGAATTGCAAGTCCATAGCAGGACAGTTTGGTTTTGTTTATTTTCAAAGAATAGCTGCCTCTTTTGTTTTACGGCCTGCAGAAGAATTAGACCTAGTATCTGTAAACTGTGTACTCCACCATTATCCCATGCCTGGACTGTACTCCTGCCCTTGTATAACTGAGACAGGCTGCTTTTCAGCTGTTTGAGGAGGCATGAGCAGGAAAGTCTGGTGGGTTATGTGGTGAAGGCCCAATAGAAAGGTCAATTTGCACAGGCATTCAGGAATAACTGCAGTGTTGGAGGTCACAGCCACCTAAGCAAACTGTCTGGACTCTTACAGCTTCCTCTGTTGTCAATGAAGGTATGTACTCATGAGGAACAATTCAGAGCACACAGTTTTGGATCTGCTTGGGTTTGCTCTCTGGAAGACCTGTTTTTCCTGGAAGACTGGTTATAGAGGCACCAGTGATGAGTTCCTTGGCTAACACAGGAGTCCAGGTTGGTTATGTGGGAATACACATCCCCAGGATTTCTCTGAATTGCAGGTAGGCATGACTGTCAAGCCCCTGGACCTTGCCCAAAGCAAGTCACAAAGGGGGAACGTGGCCACAGAAGGGGCTGTGGGTGGTGTGTTCTTTACTGAGCAGAAGAGGGAGAATTCAAACCTTCTTCTTAGAGTGCTCAGCATGATAATGTGTGCTCTTGATCATGGATGTAACAGAAAACCTATGAGCTCCACAAAGAGTCTCCAGGGCTGAACAGTCATGGGAATTCTGCTGTTTGCTGCCACAAGATGAACACCTTGACCTCTGTATCAACAATATTTGTTGTGGTTGTATCAATTTGTACATGACACAAGGGACTGACCACTGGTTCCTCATACACATCAAAAAGTTTCTTCCTCCCTGTGGCCATAACCACACTCCAGGTATGGTTATACAACCCCCTCTAGAGTCTGACTCTGCACCTTCAGATCTGGAAAGCAATGGATGTGTTTCTCTCTGTAGGGAAGGTGGTCCTGAGAGGCAAGCAGGTGTAGAACATCTGGGCCGTGCTACTATTTGAAATAAATTATATCTCTGAGAAAAGAAATTTGGACCATAAGATTTTCCTACTTACAGTAAGATAAAATTGTGTGTTTAATATAACTGTATGTACAGTACTAGTGTGTGCTGCAAGAAAATCCTTATAATATGAGCAAATAGTGGGAAAAAATCACAATACTGACCTTAAAATTATTCTATTTTACAGGATGAAAATTAATATTAAATGATAAATATCCTGTGATTTTCAGAATTACTCTTTTTCTTTTCCCAAAATGCCAGTTGAATGATCAGATTTACTTCCCTTGTATAAAAAGTAATTTCTGTAACCTAATCACAAAACAAATAAACTAAGTCATATGGTCTTATTTCAATTATCCAGTTTTGTTTCTATCATCATCATACTAAAAAAAAAGTCATCATGTCAATCGGAATCATGTGTAAGCAGTGTTTTGGTAAGAGTCCACCCTTCATTTAGAGAGGTGACCAGGAGGGGCAGAGAGGGCAGGGATAGGAGGCATTAGCGACTGACCAGAGTTTGGAGTGGAAGAACTGCTGATGAAAACTATGCCATAAATCTGTCCTGTCCACTGGGCAGCATTATCCCTTACATGAGCTCTAAAATTTGCTGCTGACAGGGGCAACTTCACAGCCTAAACTTTAGTCTGGGATCCCCAGGAAGTTTGGGTACCTCTGGTGAGAGTTTTTGTATTATTTCTTGGGAAAAAAGTCTTATGTTGGTATCAGCTAGATTTAAAATGTTTTCTTTAAGCTTTATATAACTGTTTTTCTCTCTAAGTCTTAATTTATTTTTAAATGAATCAAGGATGACAGGAATTCAGGATGAATGCACTAAAGCTTTGTTTGATATTGAAAAAAATGTCCTTCGCAAATTATTTATTTGTTTTGCATTTTATTTCCTTAAAGGAGTTTTATTTACTCTTGCAAAATGAAGAGATAGGTGCTATTTTCAGATCCTTGTGCAAACCTTATGAAAAATGTTTTTGACATGTTTTTCTTTAATATCATTCCTTTTACAGTGTCACAGTGCACCTAAAGCCCTTTGAGTTTGCTACTTCTTTCCCAAGGAATCGTTTATTTCTAGTGGAACAGCTAAGAGGACAGGGGAAAACAGAACTGGCTTTTGAAGAGGTCGGGTTCTGTTGCCAACAGAGAGAACAAGAACGGCCACGAGATGGTAGCAGTCTGTCAGAGAAGGCCAGGAGATGGAGCTGAGCTTCTCTTCTTGATCCAGAGAGGCAAATGTGCCCTGTGTGCCTTGTACCTTACAGTGGAACATTTGCAGTGTGCAAGCAGAGCTATTTTAGAACTATTTTTTGGAATTATTTCACTTTGAGGTAAAGTAATTAAGAGTAGCACCATAGGCTGGCGTGCTGTGACTCAAGCAAGGATGCCAAGTGCAAATCCATTTACAAATTGCCAGTGTAAGCTGACATCTGGGATTGTGTCCTGCTGTGAGGCCTTGGCTGGCTCGTTCAGTCCTCCTTTTTGGGCTGTCGTGGCATCCAGGATGGCACAGCCCCAGGCTGCAGAGTGTTGACCTGCAATAAACCCCTTCTGCCCTCTCGGATCCACTCAGAGTAATACAAGGGGTTAATTTCTTACTGCTTGGCCTTGTGAGAGATCAGGTGTCATCTGCTCTCCCCTGGCTGACATAAACTTCATGTTAACAGAAAGAGACAGTGAAAACTCCATCATGTGCCCTGTCTGGTTTGACAGAAATGCAGTCATATGCCCACATGTGATCAAGATTAAACTCGTGCTGCAGAGTGATCTGGCAATGTGCAAACCCCTATTAATGTGCCCAAACACACAGTTTTTTGGGGAAAAAATAGATTTTACTTCTGCTGCTTCTGCTGAAAGATAAAAGAAAAAGGGGAACTTCTAACAGACTGCTGGGGCAGAGAACTGCAGGGATAATTTTGGTCTGGATTGCAATTATCAGAAAAGATACAGGAGATTGTTCTGTAAACTACTGTGAATTCTGGCAGCGTTTCATCCTTTTTTGATGCATGGAATTTATGGGAAGCTGTGTGAAGGCTGGCAACACTTACCTATCTTGTATCTATTCTACATCATGCTTGAGTGAGATTATTGTGTGGCAGCAGGACTTAATATAAAGGCAACATTCAATTTACAACATTACAAAGTTAATTTAACTCTGCAGGGAAGATGAACCCTGCTCTTCTTGTTGCACTTCTGTGTACAAATGCTGGTTGTGCTGCAAACAGCGACAGTTTCATTTAGGCACAGCGCTCAGATGTGAATACTCAAACACCTTCCAGCATATGCAGTTTAAATATTTCAAAGCCAGCAAAATGGTATCAGTATTTGCATGGAACCAAATGTCATGATCATTTGCTTACTGAGAGCCATAACCAACAGTCTGAACAGCCTTTTCCTCAGTGCTAATGATTTAAATACCCGTTCATTACTCAGTAAGACTCTGTCCCCGGAGGCAAAGGAGGAGTCTAAATGGCACTTTATGTCACAAAAATGAAGACTTGGTTTGTACCAGGTGCCTTTTGCCCAGTGCAAACATGCACACATGCTTTAGATTTCTCTTGGTTTCTATAGGACTATTCTTAGCAGCACAGTGAAACGTGGTTATGTTAAACATGCTACAGAGAAGGTTCAAAATAAATCGTGTCTGGAATTGACCTGATTCTCTTCTTTGCTGTTTTCCTTTGGCTACAATATAGCTCACAAGGGGATAAAATGCTGCACTGGAAGTAACAGTTTAGCTCTGATGCAACTGTTGACACATTTTCCTATTTCTGACTTAATTTCCATGTTTTCCTTTGATTGCACAATTCTCGAAGGTGCATTCCCCATTTTACAGAAAGCAAACTGTTTAAGAATATACGTATATTCCAGATACTTCTCGCTAAATAAGAATAATATACTCTCTGGATACTTATACAACTGTCTCACTTAGGGGATTTGGTAAATCTCTATGAATTTTTACAGGTATTTGAGAAGCTCCAAGTCAAGCAAGCTCCTTTAAATTCATTTATTTCTGCTTTGTTATTTTCTGTTTTTTGCAGACATTTTATTCTCTCAGGCCATCTCACAGTGTCACATCCCTAGCAGCCAATACTGATTCTTGTGTCCATGCTTAGGTTTTTTGGTTTTGTTTTTGGTTTTTTTTCATGTTCCAACTTTAATAAGACTCCTGGGCTTTCTTTGAAGATTTCATTTGCAGCGGCAAAGAAACCCTTGTGTATTACAAGTCTTCCTGTGGATTAAAAATGTTTTAAAAGGCTTTATTTTAAAGACTGAACATAAGAGTTCTTGAAGATACATGGAGCTGGGTACTTGACACACACCTGAACTCAAACCTGGTACACAGAAAAAGTAAAAAATGTATAAAATATTTTTTTGCTTTCTTTAACAAGTTGCTTTGAGCCCGTTGTAATGTTTAAATTCCTTCCTGTGTTCACTGAGATATAATGGAGGTCTGTAAATATGTTTCTTTGCTATTTTCCTCCAAATGTTCTGGTTCTTGTATATACACAGAAGTTCATTCATGTACTTGGGGAATAATTCTAATACTTTTCTTTGTCACTTCAATCTGTTTTAAAGTCTTGACTGAAGTTCTTGTGGCATGTTGAAACAGCCTGAGATCACCTAAAAGGAAATCTGAAATGTCATGGTACAAACCTGGCCTTGCAATGTCAGAAAGTTTGCATGCAACAATGTGTGCCTTTTTCTGAGGCAATGCTGCTTGAACACAAATGCTTGCCCAAATCATGTTACTGTATTCCAGCACAATCCCTTGAGAGAAATGGGCAATGCTGAGAAGCTTTTGGAAATGGTTGGGGAAAAACAGAGTCACAGAAAATGGATGGTGACCACACATGGGTCTTACTCCTCCTGCACATGATCTTGAGAGATGGGCAGTGCCTTTTTATTTATATGGTTGTGCAGTGCTTAGCACAGCAAAGCTTTGAACCCTGCTAAAGGTTTTTGGATATTATGGGAATGCTAGTAAATATTGTGGTATTTAACCAATGGTTATTGTAATGCTTTCAGAATTTGTTTTGTTCCCACAGGTTTTATTTTTATCCACATTCCTCAGCTATGTGTTGGTGTGACTGTCACTGTCATTGTTTTGCCAGGATTGGTCCTCACTACATTCTAGTCTATTTTTGGATTCTGAGTATGGCACTGACCTCTAACCAAATGCAAACGTTACTGTCTGAGCTAGGCACCTTAGCATCTTTCCCTTGTCTGTCAAGAGTTAATCAGGGTAGCTGAGAATAGAGCACAACTCATCTCATGCTGAACAGATGCCTGTGTTTGGTTAGATGAATACCTCCTTCAGCTCCAGCGGTTTTGTTGACCAGATCCCCCTTGTCAGTCCTGCTGTAGATACCTCTAGCCAGGAGAGATGAAACCCATCCTTGGGGACAGGTACCGTGCTGCCTGTGTAACTAAGCATAGGAAGATGATGTGTGGAGTGTTCTTAACACAATCCCCATCAGAGGGGTGGGGGCTGCAGGGGCTGTCCCCCTGCCCAGCAAAGGGGCTCCTCTCGATTTTTTCTCTTCTGTGAATCCATGTCCACAGAGCTGGCCACATCTAAGGCAAAATATGTGCTCCAGATGACAATTTATCTCCCTTTTCCCCCTCTGCCACCTCTTCTTCCCCTGCCCTGTCCTCCCCTTTGGCTAATCCCTGCTGCTGTTCCAGGTGCTATCCTTGTGCCAATAACCATCTGGGTGGTTAGGGGCTGGTGGAAGACACTGGTAGCAGGACTGATGAATTTCAGTGTTGGTACAAAATCTGAGTTTGTGAGTTGCTGTTAAGATTGCTTCTGATTTATTACTCAGCCATCCAGAATGAGTG